CTATCTTCTTCTTCTTCTTTTTTTTAACATATATTGTATTATTTGGGTGGCTCAGTGGGTTAAGTGTCTGCCTTCGGCTCAGGTCATGATCCCAGGGCCCTGGGATTGAGCCCCATGTGGGGCTCTCTGCTCAGGGGAGAACCTGCTTCTCCCTCTCTCTCTGCCGCTCCCCCTGCTTGTGCTCTCTCTCTCTCTGTCAAATGAATAAATAAAATCACATGCATTTTTTAAAAATTTCCTGAATCTTACAGCATCCTCTACCATGGGATAGGCTTTTTGCCAAGAAAATTCTTGATGCTGACACAAAACTCAGTTTTATTAATCCCATGAGTGTCATTCTTTAAGGACTCCCATCTCTAAACTCCCACAATATGCTTGTAACTTCTCTTACAGCACATATTTCTTTGTAAACTTTGTCACAGTTGTGCATATAGATTATCCCCTTCATACACAATATCTTCGAGGTAAGAACTTCTTACATACTCTTCATAATTTGCTATGCCTTGTACATAGTAGACATGTGATGAATGTTGCAGGAAGTGGGAAAAGGTAAGAAAGAAGGGAGTCAGGGAAAAAATCTACATGAGAGGTAGGAACCAACCAGCAGAAACCAGTAGGTAGTGCTCCCATGGGCAATATACCATTGCTGCTTTTCCCTCCTACCCACTGCTTCCACATCTGTAGATTTCTCCAATTTACCCTAATGCAAAGGCCAGATCCTCCTAGTAAGTAATCATCCTTGAGTTATATAATTGCCATTCTCATACTTCTCAAAGCATGAATGAGCTTACATGACATCATTTTTTCCAAGTCACAATTTAGAGCAACATCTCATATGTGGCCCCAATTCTGTGCATTCATTGTCTCTCCATATTCTGATAATTTCTCTCCCTCTGCCTCCCTTGCAAATGATAGGTCAGTGTGGAACTGAAAGCTTCTCCAGCCTTCCTACAATCCCAAAATGAGAAGGGAAAAGAATCCTATTGCATCTGTGCAAATGAGCGGCAAACCCTGTCTTGGACAATAACTCCTAAAACTCTGGGTGAGTGACATTCCCCCAAAAGGTTCTCCAATCAACAGGGGTGGTGGGTATCTGAACACTACTTACATCACATTCGCTTTTTTGTTTCACACAAATATAATTCCATAAGGTTAGTTTTTTTTCTTCTTTTGATTTCTAGCCACAACGGTCTCCTCCCAGTACTCCCATAGCACTTGGGCCCCACAGTCACTGTACTTGGGCACTGATCGCTCAGTGTCTAGCTTTGAGTTTTTTCCAGCTTTATTTCCTATTCCAGCCAGTAGTAAGTTTAAAGTGCAGCCCTTCAAGGTGATCACAGAGCACAAAGTCATTTTCAGCTATTAGGGATGGCTTGGACTGCTATCAAGATGGATGCACATTTTTTTTTCTACATTCTTTGTTTCAGGGAATGTGAACTTCTCAGTCTGTGCAGAGGCGGTGCAGTCCCCAAAGCTGTGTGGAAATGAGGTTGCTGAGGTCCCTGAGATTGGGAGAAAAGAAACAGTCGTCAAAATCCTGTTGGTGGAGGTAAGTCAGTCTGGACCACTTCAGTATTTTTCTGAGACCCTAACAATAGTAACAGTGAGAAACAGTATGGCCATATTCTTGAGCTAACAAAGAATAATTAATACCGTACCCACACAATCCACCTGATAAGACTAATGGAATTTCCTGTCCTAAAAGTATTATAGTAAAATTTTTAGCTAACCTTGTTAGCTTATCATAAATACTTTTTCTCATGAATGATTTCAGAGCTAGTCCCTTTTCCTGACTTCTTCATCTCTTCTAAGATTCATTTATTTCTCACACTTTGTACCTTTGATTCTCTTTCCTTATTATCCCTCATTTTCTCCTCTGCTGGTCTCCATGGTTCTTCAGAGTTTTATGGATTTATAGTAATTTGATAATAAGTAGGATGTTAAGATTGTTTAGTGTAAACCCCACCCTTCAAAGCAATGAATCTGCGGTTGTCCTTCAAAAACCTGGACATTTATCCCTTTTCTTTTTTTTTTTTCACTTGAGCCTGAAGGTATTGAACAAGAAAAGACTTTCAACTCTATGACTTGCACTTCTGGTAAGAGTCCATCTTCATAATCATAGTGAGAATAATGCCCCACAGGGATATGTATGTCAAGTTACAATGCATGTCCCTACATTTTATCTCCCTTTATCTTTAGAATATTCCCTTAAATTTTAGCAATAAGTATTTCTTTATATGCATTTTACACAAGAGGACACTGAGCCCAAGAGTGTGGGTAAACGTGGCTTAGGGGTGCAGACAAGACTAATACTTGCTCAGTTCACATTTAGCCTTTACCTCCATAGCCCAGGGGCTGCTCATGAACCAATAAGGATATAGTAGCTTAGAGTGTCATAATCTAGGTAGAAAGACAGCAAAGTCATTATAAGATTGAATGACAGTGATATTCTCTAAAACAGTTGATGATGAAACGGGGGTCACTTTGTATTCATCTTACTGAAAAAAATGTTTCATGGCAAAAAAAAACACTTTACATTAGGGCTTTATCATATCATTAAGAAACAACTGTAGCTTTTAAGTTACATTGCCACATTAGTATTATTTCTACATTTGTAGTGTATATGACACTGTTCTTGTCTTTCAAGAAGGACCAATTTAAAGTATAAAATCAGAGAATTAGACAATCAGATCAAAGAACTATATGCCCCACCAGTTCCCAAGCTTCTTTTAGAGAGAGCCACCATGCACAGCTACCCAGAACATAGTAAAGTGAGAGGGGAAAGGACTCTGGAAGTCATTCTGTGCCAAGAAGAGCTGGACAATTAAAGGTGATCTCATCATAAGCCAGAGTCCTTATTCCTCGGACCCAGGGTTCCTGAAGGAGACATAATAATACCGCTAAATATAATAATAACCATAATAATAACTGCTCACATGTATGCAGACTTCACATGTTGCAGAGGCTATTCTAATGCACACATGTTTTACATGCATTCTTCCACTGAATCAGCACATGAGCAAGTTAGACTATGAGGAGGTTAAGTAATGTGTCCAAGGTACAGAGCTAGTAAGTGTGGCTCTGAAGCCCCCTCCCAACCACTACATTGTATTGCTATAAGAGATGTCATACTTTGATATGGGTTGTCTGTTTCCAAAGGTACTGAAATATCTGAGCAGTTATCCCTGAAGCTCCCACCAAATGTGGTCAAAGAATCTGCCAGAGCCTCTTTCTCAGTTTTGGGTGAGTCATCTTGCACCCGGGAAACTCGGGACAAAAGAGCAGCCATCATACATCTGAATCTATATACATATATCTATGTATTTGTGGGGTTTTTTTAAGATTTATTTATTTATTTGAGAGAGAGAGTAGGGGGAGGGGCAGAGGGGGAGAATCTTCAAGCAGACTCCCCGCTGAGCATGGAGTCTGATGCGCGGCTTACAACCCTGAGATCATGACCTGAGCTGAAACCAAGAGTCAGATGCTCAACTCACTGAGCCACCCAGGTGCCCCAATATTTGTGTTTTAAATCTCAATTTATTAATAGCATCTATTTCTATTAGAATTCTGGAAGTCTCACTCTCTAAATATAAATTTCTTCTTGCCTAAATGATGGTGTCCATGACTCTAAATATGAAAATAATTTGTCTTTAATAATGTTGGTCTACTTAGGGGCTGAAATTACTCTGACATTTAATCTTTCACATCCCCTAGGTGACATACTAGGTTCTGCCGTGCACAATATACAGAATCTCCTCCAGATGCCCTATGGCTGTGGAGAACAAAACATGGTCCTGTTTGCTCCTAACATCTATGTCTTGAACTATCTGAATGAAACCCAACAGTTGACTCCAGAGATCCAAGTCCAAGGCCCTTGGCTATCTTACCAGTGGTGAGTCAAAGAAAAGTTTACTTTGTTACTCTGAGACTTTTCCCGATTAAACCTGAATTATATTACCAGATATTAAGCTAATGATGGTGATTTTTGTGAAAATGACAATTTTCCCACCATTTAATAGGATGTTGTGTTGTGACATATCCATAGTGTTCCTAAAACTATGTCAGATAAGAGACCATACGATGTCTGTGGCTTCTGGATGCATCAGCCTGCACCTATGGGTGGCCTGCCTTTTTCTAACACTTCTTGAACTACTTGAACCTTTCATTCCAGGTTACCAGAGACAGCTCAACTACAAACACCAAGATGGTTCCTATAGCACCTTTGGGGAACAATATGGAAGGAACCAAGGTAACAGTTGGTAAGAAAAGAAAATCTATTCTGAGTTTCAACTATGAATTCACAGCACGTACATATATTAGCCTATTTAATTCTTAAAACAATCCTGTCAAGTGAGAGCAATTCACTTCTTTTTACAAAGGAGGAAATGACATTCAGCATGGATAAATAAATGTCTCTGGTATAAACAACTAATAAATGGCAGAACTGAGAACACTTGGAAGTTGAATCTTTTTACATCTAATACACCAAGCATCTTTTCTTTCTCATGTTCCTAAGGGACCATTGTAAGTTAGTGATTTTCCCTCTTAAGTTTTTTCTCAGCACTGAGAGATGCTAGAAATGGGCTAGAAAAACTAAGTGTACTTTACTACCTTGTACTAGATGACTCTGTGTGTGTGTGTGTGTGTGTCTCTCTCTCTCTGTTTATCCATCCGTCTGTCTTCTGTCTCTCCATCCATCCGTCTATCCATCCATCCACCCCATCTATCTACCTGTCTGTCCATCTGCTCATCTATCTCTCTATGTATCTATCTGTCTTGAATAAGTCTGACCAAACAGGAAAACAAGTGTAAATCAATGACCCAGAAAGTGGTGGAGGGGCTGGGTGATGTGGAGGGAAATATTTACTGAAGCAAGACATTCAAAGTAGTTAGTTCATTAGAGTATTAGCTGCAGAAGAGAAGATAAGAAATCTGTGAAAAAGAAATAAATACAGAAAGCCCAGAATGTGAGAGCAAATATCATAACAACCCAAGAACACTAGGAGACACCTGAATCTCTAAAGTGACACAGAAATGCTTTAGGAAGCAGGGACCAATTGGTAATGTATTTAACAACATGCTGTAGCTAAGCAAAAAGAATATGGAAGCTGCCAGGTTAACAGAAATAGTCTCCAAACTCTTAGTGATAGCTCACTGACTCTCATGAGGGTGCACTGGGGGGAAAAGGAGTCTATGTGTGCGAAACAGTGTTAGGGTGCTGTATGGAAAACAGCACCCCACTCTCCCTCACCCTTCAGGCTCACGGCCTTTGTACTGAAGACTTTTTCCCAGGCTCGAACCTACATCTTTATCGATGAAGCACACATCACCCAAGCCCTCATGTGGCTCTCCCAAAGGCAGAAGGACAATGGCTGTTTCAGGAGCTCTGGGTCACTCCTCAACAATGCCATTAAGGTGAGGTGTTCTGAGTACTTATCCTGAACCTCATGATACACCAATACTAACATTCCTCCAAAGGTGAGGGGAGAAGGAAGGCACAGAGAAATTGCAAAGATGAAGTCCAGCAGTGTGAGAGGGCATCAGGGAAGGAATATAATATTAAACCTGAAAATTATAGAGGAGAAAGAAACGGTGCTTTGCATGAGGATGTTATTTTGCTTAATAGAGACAGATCCTGAGAAGGGTCCCCATGAAACAGCAGTAGAGAATATACTAAAATTTGAGAGTAGAATTAATAAAAATTCCCTCTCTCTCTCTCTCTCTCTCCCCTCCCCACCCCCCATCCCACAGGGAGGAGTAAAAGATGAAGTGACCCTTTCAGCCTACATTACTATTGCTCTTCTGGAGATTCCTCTTCCAGTCACTGTAAGGTTCACCTCAATCCCATTTCCTACCATGGAACCTACAGGCCTGATGTCTGGAACACCACCTACTACAAGCCAAGTCTCAACTTTCCTTTTGCTCAATGCTGAGGCATTTCTCAGCTAGATAAGCTCTTCAATTAATCCACTAAAGGGAACTTATACTTGCTTAGCCATGCCCTTGGACTATGTACCAAAACTAATCCAAAAACCACAGGCTCACTAGCCTTATTCTTTTAAGACTTAACAATAAAGCTAAGAGATTTAAAACATTTTTTTCAATTTCAATATCGTGGCTATCTGGCTGTCTACCTGGCTGGCTGACAACCACGAATGACTTCTGTCAAACAATATCCAACTCAGGGTTTCCTCCATCCTCTACTTACCCTAATCTGACATCATTACCTCTTTGTCCTTGCAGCACCCTGTTATTCGCAATGCCCTGTTCTGCCTGGAGACGGCCTGGAACACAGCAAAGGAGGGGACACGTGGGAGCCATAGCTACACCAAGGCATTGTGGGCCTATGCTTTTGCTCTAGTGGGAAACCAGGATAAGAAGAGAGAAATACTGAACTCTCTTGATGAGGAAGCTGTGAAAGAAGGTGAGAGAAAATGGTAAAAAATTTCCCCTTTCATTTACACTGATACTACAAAAAGAGGAGGGTTATATTTCCAACGAAAGTAACAAGCTTCATCTGGAATTCCTTAGCCAACTCGTATATTGTGAAATCAGAGCACCTCTTGTAAAAATGTCTTCTTGAGTGTCTGGGTGGCTCAGTCAGTTAAGCTTCTGACTCTTGATTTCGGCTCAGGTTTGTGGGATCGAGCCCCATGTCAGGCACCCCACTCAGCAGGGAGTCGGCTTGAGATTCTCCCTCTCCCTCTGCCCCTCCCCTCATGCTCTCTCTAATTTAATTTATATATACTTCACATGGTATCTGTCTCCCTACTTGGATGAAAAGAGGCACAACCGGGCGCCTGGGTGGCTCAGATGGTTAAGCGTCTGCCTTCGGCTCAGGTCATGATCCCAGCGTCCTGGGATCGAGTCCCACATCGGGCTCCCTGCTCCTTGGGAGCCTGCTTCTCCCTCTGCCTCTCTCTCAATCTCTCTGTCTCTCATGAATAAATAAATAAAATCTTTAAAAAAAAAAAAAAGAAAAGAAAAGAGGCACAACCAAAAACCATACTAAAGGAAGTGAAATAACATTTCCAAAGTGTTTTTATCTCTATTTGCCAGAGATTATCACAAAAGTCCTCTGAGATCAATAGGTAGGTTTTATATTCCAATTTATTCTTCAGTTTCCAGGAAATGTCTCTCCAGAGAACTCTCTGTCACTTTTCCCTTCCCCTGACTCAATTAAAATAATATTTGAGAAACTGATAAAGATGCTCTATGCTTCCTCCTTCAACAACATTCTTCAACTTATCCCCACAAGACTAAGCCAACTTTAGCATGGAAATGTGAGTTAGTGAATTTGCAGGGCTTATGACAGAGAGGACATTACTTCTCTGTACTATCTTCAGCTCCATATGATACAAATGTGTATTCACGTATCATCTACTGGTAATTAGGATTCTCTCCTTTTTCTCACCCCTAAGATAACTCAGTCCACTGGGAGCGACCTCAGAAACCCAGGGCACCAGTGGGGCATTTTTACCAACCCCCAGCTCCCTCAGCTGAGGTGGAAATGACATCCTATGTGCTCCTGGCTTACCTCATGGCCCAGTCTGCCCCGACCTCAGAGGAGCTGACTTCTGCCTCGCACATCGTGAAGTGGATCACAAAGCAACAGAATTCCCAGGGGGGCTTCTCCTCCACTCAGGTCTGTGTTTCCCAAATAGTCTTCTCAAGACTCTAGATTCACATGGCACATGGGAAAGCTTGAAAAACACAACAGTTAACAAGGAAAAGAGAAGAGACCATTACATCTTGGGAGAGTTATTTAGGGATATTTGAAGACAGTGGGAATATGAAGTAAAGAGATCTAAGACATTCCCCAAAAACACTTTTCCCTAAGAACTATGTTAACATCCTATCGATTTGGCTACTTACCATAAACATCATTCCTCTCTAAAGCTTATACACATTGGTCATTGGCCACACTCTAGGGTTTTTGAATATCACTGCTCTTGACATTTTGGGTCAGATAATTACTGTTGTGAGGGGCTGTCCTGGATCCTTAAGATGTTTAGCAGCAGCCCTGTTCTCTCTCCACTAGATGCCAATAACACCCTGATCCCAGTTAAGACAAGGTAAAATCGCTCTTGGTTAAGAATCAGTGTTCTAGGGGCACCTGGGTGGCCTAGTCACCTGAGCCTTCAACACTTGATTTCAGCTCAGGTCATGATCTCAGGGTCATAAGATCGAGCCCCATATCGAGCTCCACACTTAGCCAGAAGTCTGCTTAGGATTATCTCTCCCTCTCCCTATGCCCCTCCCCCACCTCAAATAAATAAAATAAATCTTAAAAAAAAAAAAAGAATCAGTGTTCTAGGCTCCAGACTACATCTGTAGGATTCTTCCAACAAGAAATCCTCTAAGGTGAGCCAGAAAATTGTACGATTAAAAGGAAAGTGGACCAAGTAGAGTTCATGTTGATCTTCATAGAATGATTGAGAAGTCCTGTTCAGGCTCTCCAATCCTTTCTACCTGCCCGGTGAACTCCCTTCTGACTTCCCCTTTAAACTGATTTTTTTTTCAAAGCTGAAGTTCTTGGAATTTTTCTTTTGTGCTAAACATCCAGAGAGTCTGGGTTTTTGCTCCTACAATCCTCTTTCAATATTTAGGATGGACATAGTAAAACTTCTCTTTTTCAGAGAAATTAGGTGCAGGGAATGAAAATAAGCTGTATAAAAAAGGAAAAGAGAGTTGGGAAAGTTCAACTGTCTCATATCACCACTCATCACCAATTTCTCTCACTCTTCTATCTACATTAACACCAGTCACTCTCTTTCCTAACTTCTTAATTTTCAACCCAATTTTTTTTTTTAGATTTTATTTATTTGACAGAGAGAGACAGTTAGAGCAGGAACACAAGCAGGGGGAGTGGGAGAGGGAGAAGCAGGCTTCCCCAGAGCAGGGAGCCCGATGCGGGGCTCGATCCCAGGACCTTGGGATCATGACCTGAGCCGAAGGCAGATGCTTAACAACTGAGCCACCCAGGTGCCCCTCAACCCAATTTTTAAAAGATACAGCCAAGAGGACTCTTGATAAGAAAGAGCAGGATGCAACTTCCAGATAGAGAGAATAATCCCTTAGGACAAAATCAATATAAGGGAAAATAAATGGCAAGGCTAATTGGCATCAATAATCTTGTATTTCATTTGCAGAAACAATAGCATAACTTTGATGATGCCTGAAGGTAGAGAAGAGGGAAAAACAATGAGTAGGTGTATACTTCAGGGGGAAAACGCCAGCCTCCCCTTGTGGTAACCAACACAGACTTTGGTGGAAAATCCCTGCTACCAAAAACTTACTCTGTGGGGGTGGGTTCTCCACTTGTCTTTTCCAGGACACAGTGGTGGCTCTCCAGGCTTTAACCAGATATGGAACAGCCACCTTCACCAGGACTGAGAAAGCTGCCCAGGTGACCATCCAGAATTCACAGGCATTTGTCACAAATCTCCAAGTGGACGACAGCAACCTCCTGTTGCTGCATCAGGTCTCATTGCCAGAGCTGCCTGGGGAATATTCCATAACAGTGACAGATGTGTGTATCTTCAGGTGAGACTCTTGAAATTTTAACCTTATCAAATGAAAAGGGAGCTCTGATCTCTCTTTCTTGGACAAATGAAGGGCAAATCGGGAGAAGTTGAATGATGGAAAAGTGAGGAGCCCCAGGTAAGGAGAGAGACTGATGCTGTGCTTGCTGTTCCACAGACATCCATGAAATACAATATTCTTCCAGAGAAGGAGGACTCCCGATTTGCCTTGAAGGTACAGACTGTACCCCATACTTGTGATGCACCCAAAGTTCACACCAGCTTCCAGATCTCACTGAATGTCAGGTAAGACTTCCGACTGAACCACCTAATGCTGAGTCTAAAAGCTACCTGGAACCTTCAGTAATTAAGAATATATTTGGAACCTTTGCTGTTAGGTGAATGTAATTTAAAATTGATATATCTACTAATGAAGTTAGCCTTGTATCATTACAGAGTGATCCTTTTCTCTAGCAATTTTTTTGTCTTAAAGTTTAAGTAATACTTTATTTTTTTAAGATTTTTTTATTTATTTTTTGACAGAGAGGGAGACAGCAAGAGAGGGAACACAAGCAGGGGGAGTAGGAGAAGCAGGCTTCCTGCGGAGCAGGGAGCTCGATGCCCGGCTTGATCCCAGGATCCTGGGATCATGACCTGAGCCGAAGGCTGATGCTTAACGACTGAGCCATCCAGGCACCCCTCAGTAATACTTTAAAAGTATTTAAAAGCAAAGTTTGGTCTTAAACTTTCAAATAAAAAAATGTAGACTCTTCAAATGTTCTAATAAATTCCTACTTTTACACTAATTTTTGTTCAACTCAATGCTGAAGAATAAATTACTTTCCACAAGGATTTTTATTTTAGGTTGAATTAAGTCTTCCTTACCTTTTCTGAATAATTAAATTCTATTTTATTATTTTTCTAATCAAATATATAAATAGCAAATGCTAATATTAAATAGAGGTATAAATTAAATATAAAATATAGAAATTACTCTATAATAACCCATCAAAAACTTATAGGAATTTGGGGCACCTGGTGGCTCAGTCAGATGAGCATCCAACTCTTGGTTCAGGTCATTATCTTGAGGTTGTGAGATCTAGCCTTGTGTCAGGCTCTGTGCTCGGCACAGAGTCTGCTTCAGATTCTCTCTCCCTCTGCACCCCTGCCCCCTGCTCGTGCATGCTCTCTCTCTAAAATAAATAAATAAATTTTCATAAAAAAAAACAACTTATAGGAATCCTAAGAAAACATAGCAGCATATAATACTATGTATCTACAACTAATAATATTGATATTGTAAAACAAATCATGTTTCAGATAGCCAACCTAATTAGTAAACATCAATTTATTCAAAGTATAAAGTATAAGTCTATCTGATCTCACAACACTTTGGAGCCTCTCTGGAAACATGCTGCATTCAAGTTAACTAAAAATAGAAAAGTAGGGCACCTGGCCTGGGTGACTCAGTCGTTAAGCGTCTGCCTTCGGCTCAGGTCATGATCCCAGGGTCCTGGGATCGAGCCCCCAATCAGGCTCCCTGCTCAGCGGGAAGCCTGCTTCTCCCTCTCCCACTCCCCCTGCTTGTGTTCCCTCTCTCGCTGTGTAGCTCTCTGTCAAATAAATAAATAAAATCTT